TAGCTGACGGCGATGAAAGGTGTTTTGCGTAGAATACACATGTACCTTTCCCACCCCACCCGCATCACTTCTTTGCCTCTAGACTAATTAATTGATTGAAATTAATTACTTAAACCAATATGAAAGTTTACACCTTAGCGCCATAGGGCAATAACGCCATAGGGCCATAGGGCCATAGGGCCATAGGGCCATAGCGCAATAGCGCCATAGCGCCATAACGCCATAACGCCATAGTGCCTTAGCGGCAGGCAGCTCCCATAACCATCCCTATAGTGCACTCTGCACTAAAAGGAGGCGGGTTGGGAGAATTCGAGGCAGTTATGCAAACCCGAGACGTAGGCGGGAGTTTGCATAACTTTCCAGAATTCTCCTAACCCCCAAATGTTTAGATGAAGCTGTGTAAACAGGGAAAACGTACTCTATTGTTTTTAATAAAATATTGCTTAAATTCAACAACCTTGTTTACATACCGTACTCTCATCTAAACACGCCTATCGACCAATGAGAAATTTTGTTACATTGAAATTTTGTTACATTTACATTGAAAGTCTTGCTACATGAAATTAATTTCCAGGAAGGCTGCTAGCCCTAAATCCAGGTAAGCCTACAATTTTATTGTCCGAACACTGTTAACAGAAAAAAAAAAATACCCCACTTAAAATATGACAAATACCTTGGCTCGTTTTTATCCTGTGAATATACAAGATACCCGAAAGAGGGTTTTGTCATTAAGTGGCGCAGGTCAGGTTATATTTGTCTGGATCTTCCCAGGATCAATCAATCTTTTTTAATTAATCACATCCCATTACCAGTAGCAAGAAGTACTTTCAAGATAAACCCAAGTTTGCACTTTTTCCATCCTTTTTCTGAACTTTACTAAAGTTCATGTTTCTTCTTGACTGGCCAATTATGGGAATAAAAAACGGTCATTTCAGAAATAAACAGAAAAACCTGGTTCTGCTTCAGTAAAAAACAACACTTATTTCCACCCCACTGCCAAAAAAAACGTGTTTAAACCTTGATGCTTGCTGAGGATTTGATAAGAAACAAAAATTCACTCAGAGAAGCCAAAACACGACGTCCAGGAGATACGTCAACCCCGGAAGAGAGACAAAATAAGTCGTCAATGTACGTCTTCAAATCAAAATAAGTAAATCTCGTAACCGGAATCCAAAATGGGAGAAGATATGAAAAACTGCACTGTCCACAAAACTTGTTTTTGATCGGAACTGACCAATAAAACTATCAAAGCAGACAAGGTCTGTAAACCAACCTGATTAAAGCAACAGTATACAGAGATGTTCTTCTCCCGATGTCAGTGTTTGTGTACGCTGGCGATTGGCAAAAACACCTTTTGTGTGCTGGGTGTTATTTTTCCTTTCATACTTAA